TTATTTTAAGTCATCTTTTGCTTCGGATGTAGATGTAGTAAATTCCTATTAGGATAAATGAACGGTTAACTATTAGGATGAATGAATTGTTAGTGAGAACTGTGTAATCAGTGTTTGATTCAGAAACTTTCAGAGCCACAGTGCATGGGGGCCTCATTCGAATATGGGAGGGAGACTCCATGTGGCTCACCGGGTCAGCGTGTATGAGTCCAGTGGCCCCGTCTGAGGTGAAGTAATCTTGGGATCTTACCTGTGATCTGTAAGAAACTGATAGCCCAGGGTCGCACTCCTGTTAGCTCTGAGAGGAGAATATTAGAGTTTCTATAAGTTACAGTCCATATATATTTTTTTAATATATTTTATTGATTTTTTACAGAGAGGAAGGGAGAGGGTTATAGAGTTAGAAACATTGATGAGGGAGAAACATTGATCAGCTGCCTCCTACACATCTCCCACTGGGGATGTGCCCATATTAATGCAGTATTTTTCACTTTGTTTTTTAAGTATATAGTAATACTATGTAGAATCCCAAGATTAATATAAAAAAAAAAACCCTCATGAAAAATGCAGAAATGTAAAGCCTTCTAAATTTCCCCTCATTGTCCTTTTTAGTTGACGTTAGTGGGGATCCAGATTTGTCTGTCGGTAGAAAAGTCACCCGGAGGGTTGGGAGTAGCGTGCAGGCCTTCGCGTCATCGCTAACGCTAACTGTGCATTCAATGTAGCACGACCCACCTTCCTGAAAGCAGATAGATGCCTTTTCTCTTTCACGTTGAACACGTTACACCAAATAAAGACGTAGAACTATCCTGGTTCGGCGTTTGTGGCTGGGAATTTAGGACACGGAGAGCCAGGCTTGTGTAGGAGGCGGCTTGTGTCATCTGAACTTGAGTGTTTGGGCCGGCTTCTGGGACGATGCAGAAACGCCTTCCGTTTCAGATGTGTTTTCTCCAGCTCACGCACCTTGCTCGTTCCTTCCCTGCATCTCGAAGTGACGCTGGCTAACCTCATTCTTTCAGCATTAGGCCCATTTATCTTTACTCTATCCCTAGTTTCTTATATTTGCTTTTCTGGGGGGGTGGGGGGGGATTTTATTTATACTGATTTTCTCATTTCGTTTATGTTTTGTTGAATTTTGTTTAGTCGTCATATATAAATTCCATAGTAAAAATCTAATTTCATTTTATTTTTTGATCTGGGGGATCTAGGAATCTGATTGCAATTTTAAGTCACTTGCTAATCAAGGTAATCAGAAACCCAAGCTACATGTATCTCACTTTTCAAAAAAAGACACGCTTCTAAGAAACAAGGTAAAACATTTATTTATTTATTTATTTATTTCATGTCAGAAGCAGCGCATGATTGTTACCAGACGTGAGAAACATTTCATGTCAAGATTAAAAATTGAAATGCCTATATTTTTATTTACACAAAAATGTCTATTTTCAAACAAACCTCTAGCATCATGTTTGTGCTTGACCAGTGGTTCTCAACCTTCTGGCCCTCTAAATACAGTTCCTCATGTTGTGACCCAACCATAACATTATTTCCGTTGCTACTTCATAACTGTCATGTTGCTCCTGTTATGAATCGTCATGTAAATATCTGATGTGCAGGGTGGTCTTAGGCGACCCCTGTGAAAGGGTCGTTCCACCGCCAAAGGGGTCGGACCCACAGGTTGAGACCCGCTGTGCTTGACTGTAGGTGTTTCAGTTGTGAAACCTGCTATGTTTCCTTGCGGTATAAAGTATAAAGGTCTTTGTTCCATGTGCTGATTTAGCATTTAGTTGTAATGACTACATAGTCACATTCGTTTTCACAACACAGACATGTTCTGAGAAATGCGTCATTTTTATGAAAGTATAGTGAGATATAGAATCAGATATTTAAGGGACTGAATTGCCCTGCCATTTCTGGAAAGCAATTTGAAGGAGTCAAATTATTTAACCTGGTAAGTGCATTCTAGAACTTGAACCTAAGGAAATGGAGTTGTACAAGAACATTTACTTGTGAATTGGTCACAGTGGTGATAACTGGAGATAAAAGGCGAGTTATTA